GCCACCAGGCCCAGCTGGTTTTTTGTATTTTTAGTAGAGACAGGGTTTCATCATGTTGGCCAGGCTGGTCTCGAACTCCTGACCTCAGATGATCCACCTGCTTCGGCCTTCCAAAGTCCGGAGATCACAGGCATGAGCCACCGTGCCCTGCCAGCTGATTTATTTTTTATAGAGCCTGTTTTTAAAATAGTATTTCTGTAGAGTAAAACTTTTTTTTAAGTACCTTCACCCAAAACTAAAATAATTTTTTATTATGTAGTGTTGAGGACATTCATTTACCGATTATTTGCAGAGTACCAACTATGTGCAAGAGTGCTGTATTACATAATATAAGAGCAACATAGACAAGAGACTTTAATCTTTCCTTCAAGCAGCATACGGTGTAGTAGTGTAATGCTGTGTTAAAGGGCTGTGCTACAGGAAGTACAGAATTTTTAGGTAGGACAGTTTGGAGGGGGCTCATACAGATTTTGTTGGGGAAAGCTTTGCAAGTGAGGTTTGACAAGTGAGAATGGGTTGAGCAAAGAAGAGATACACTCCTGCCAGAGAAAACAGTATTAATATAGGTACAAGGTAGAAGAATACATGCAGCACAGAATCTTGAGAAGTTCTGAAGGATATCTTGTGATTGTGGAGAGGGTATTGGTAAGAGATGAGGTGCTCCTAGTGGACATCTGCATTACCTCTGTTGCTTATCAAAGTATAGATGTGTATCCCTTTTCCAAACTTGTTGAACTAGTTTCTAGGATAGAGCCAAATATGTATATTTTTAAAACACATCCTGCTGATCCTAGTGGCTCATGCCTGTAATCCCAGCACTTTGGGAGGCCGAGGTGGGTGAATGACAAGGTCAGGAGTTCGAGACCAGCCTAGCCAACATGGTGAAACCCCGTCTCTACTAAACATACAAAAAAGTTAACCAGGAGTGGTGGCGGGCACCTGTAATCCCAGCTACTTGGGAGGCTGAGGCAAAGGAGAATTGCTTATTGCTTAACCTGGGAGGCGGAGGCTGCAGTGAGCCAAGATTGCACCACTGCACTCCAGCCCGGGTGACAATGCACGACTCCATCTTAAAAAAAAAAAAAAAAAATTAAGATAACCTCTGGGTGATTGTCACGTGCACCTGGATAAAAATGACTTTTAGGTCAGAAAGTGCCAGAAGGTGAGAAATTTGGATTCATCTTAAAGCATTGGGGGATTTATCCTACTGCAATGAATAGCCATTGAAGAATTTTAAGCAAGAAGTGATGTGATTAAACTTATAGAAATGTGGAAAATGGATTAGAGAGTGAGACTGTATCCATAGAGGTATGTTGGAATAGTCTGTGTGAGAGTTGTTTTAGCCTAAATTTAAGCAGTAATGGGAGGGATAATGAGAAGAAGTTTGAGAGATACTAAAAGTGAAAAGTTAACAGACTTGATTTTATTTAGACAGTGCAGTCATGTATGTATTATACAATATTCTTTCAGCCACAAAAGGCAGATTACTAGGTTATCCTTCAAACAGATAAGGGCTGTATGAAATAGATACTGCCCCTACTACTTCTTAAGTCTTTCACCTACTGTTCTAAATGAAGAAGACAATGGGAAGCCACTGAAGGACTGTTAACCGGAAGGGTCACAATCACATCCACGTTTTAAAGCTATTAGTTTGGCTATAATAATAAGAGATTGGAAGGGCACGTATTGGAGGCAGGAAGGCAGTTGGAAGGAAGACTGCTGTAGTAATTGGAACCAAAGATGATGATACTGTAAGTGATTGATAGTGTCAGTGAGGATGGAGAAGAAGGCAAGGATTTGAAAAAGAAGTAGGAGGTAGACTGAGCAAGACTTGGAGTCTTATTCTAACTGGGGATTAAAGATGACCTGAAGGTTTCTAACATGAGTGACTTTGATGCTTGATGACACCATTTCCCTAAAAAAGATTATAGGCCTTGGAAAATGGTGCCTCGCAGCTTGGGTAGTCTTACAATCCTGGTGCTTTGGGCTGCTGCCCTGCTCCTTGCTCTGGGCGTGGAAAGGGCTCTGGCGCTGCCCGAGGTACAGAAGCAAGTTTGAGGTCGAGCTGAAGCAGGGTTGATGGCCAGCCATGTGTTGTGCTTGCCTGCGGTTCCCTCTTCCCCTCTGCTGGCCTGCAGCTCTGATTTCATCCCCGACGCTTTCCGACCCTGCCCAGCCAGGTATGCACCCAGTGTCCCTGGAGTGTGCAAAATTTGTCCAAAGTGGCCCTTTGTTGTAAAACAACACGAAAGCTAATGCTGCATGCCCATTGCTACCTGAATCAGAAGGGCACCATCTTGGGGCTAGATCTCCAGAACTGTTCTCTGGAGGACCCTGGTCCAAACTTTCATCAGGCACGTACCACTGTCATCATAGACCTGCAAGAAAACTCTGTCAAAGGTGACCTGGTCAACACCTTCCGTGGCTTTACTCAGCTCCAGACTCTGATACTGACAGTTGACAGATGTCAACTGTCCTGAAGGAATTAATGCTTGGAATACTGCCACCTCTTATATAGACAACCAAATCTGTCAAGGTCAAAAAAACCTTTGTAATAACACTGGGAACCCAGAAATGTGTCCTGAGAATGGATCTTGTGTACCTGATGGTCCAGGTATTTTTGCAGTGTGTTTGTGCTGATGATTTCCACAGATATAAGTATATGTGCCAGGGCTCGTTCTCACTGCTTATGTTCTTTGGGATTCTGGTATCCACCACTCTATCCATCTCCATTCTGTTTTAGGGGACCCAACGCTGAAAAGCCAAGACTTCATGAACCACATAGGTCTTACCATTGACCTAAGATCAATCTGATGTATGTTAGCCCATCCAGGGAGCTCTGCTTCCTAGACAGGCATCTTTGGCCAGTGGATTTGCCTGAAGGTTGAGGCCGCTATTGGAAGTTGAAAAATTGCACTCCCCTGGTGTAGACAAGTACCAGTTCCCATTTGTGTTGTTGTCTATAATAAACACTTTTTTCTTTAAAAAAAAAAAAAAAAATTATAGAAGGGGAAAATATTTGACGAATACATTCTGCTTGTCTTTTTTTATTTTTAAGTAATTTTTTATTAGTTTACTCTGCCAAGTCAAAAAGTATATAGTTAATCTATTTGCATTAATATTTTATTAGGCAAGAAGTAGTCCTGAACTACTGCCTTCTGGTGTGACTGATGAAAATGAGGTGACTGCAGCTGTTAATGAAAAGGTTTGTCCTGAATTCGACAATAACAAACATTCAAAAGAGGTAAAAATAATTTTATATTTACATTGAGAGTCATAAGGGTGGAAGGATAGGAGGATGTGAATGATCAGACATTACTTAATGGGTACAATATACATTATTCAGATGACAGATACATCAAAAGCCCCAGCTTTATCACTAGACAATATAGCCATGTAACAAAATTGCACTTGTACCCCTTGAATTTATACATATTAAATAAATAAATAAATGTTCTTATGTGGTGGCAAGTGCCTACAGTCCCAGCTACTCAGGAGGCTGAGGTAGGTGGATTGTTTGAGCCTGAGTTGGAGGAACTAGACAACATAGACCTTATCTCTAAAAATTAAATGATATTTTAAAAAAATGTCCTTATCACTGTTTTCCTTAGGTATTATACACTATTTTAGGTGAAGGAAAGAGAAAAGTGTGTTAAATGTGCTTTATGACTAGATAAATTTTTGTTATATTACCATCAGTTGATTTTTTCAAAGCATATGTATGACCTGAATGTGTGTTATTTCATTTTAAAATGTTACCTTTTAAAATTTTGGTTTCTAAATATATATTTTTTTAATTTAAAATTATTTTTAGGAAGATCCATTTAATGTAGACTCAAGTTCACTGACAGATTCAGTTGCAGATACAAACTTGGATTTTTTCCAGTCTGATCCTTTCATTGGCAGTAAGTACTCTTTTTTCATGTTATAGATTTACCCAAAAAAGGCTTTTTAATATATAAACTAAGAATTAAGACTTCTGTTTCAATATCCTACTGTCTCATTCTGTCGCCCAGGCTGGAGTGCAGTGGTGTGATCTTGGCTCACTGCAACCTCCACCTCTTGGGTTCAAGCAATTCTTCTGTCTCAGCCTCCTGAAAAGCTGGGGCTATAGGTGTGCACCACTGCGCTCAGCTAATTTTTGTATTTTTAGTAGAGACAGGGTTTCACCATGTTGGCCCTGCTGGTCTTGAACTCCTAACCTCAAGTTACCCACCTGCCTTGGCCTCTCAGAGTGCTGGGATTACAGGCATGAGCCACTATGCCTGGCCTGATAGCCTACTTTTTACAATAAAAGATAGAGGTGAGAGTGAGGGTTTATATGCCTAGACTTGCTAGTAGTTATCCTCCACAGGCAACTAAATCCTGGGACCAAGCCTTTGATTATGCCTTAGGATTCCCTCATTAAGAATGTGTTTCTTCTTTAGAATAAGGACCCCAAAACAAAACCAAAAAAAGTAACTGTTATAGACCAATAAAGAAGACTGGTCTTCTTTTCTTTTCTTTTATTTTTTTAAGACAGGGTCTCACCACGTTGGTCAGGCTGGTCTTGAACTCCCGACCTCAGGTGAGCCGCAAGACTGGGCTGCTTAAGTCAGCCAGCAATTGTTTACTAAAAATGCCAACACAGTGCTTTTAAAACAGTAGAAACTGTAGCAGAGTTGAAGTCAGATCCCACCCCTTAAGATCCATACAGTCTTATTGAAGAAACATGTTTGATAAATTAAAATGTCTAATATTTATTTTATTTAATTTTATTTCCAAAATTAACTTCTGAAACTGATAGATCAATTTATATCCGTTATAAAGATGAGAAACTGAGGCACACCGGCAAAATAATTTACTTAGGGTTGTGACAGAAATGAGCTCAGATATTATAATTCTTTTTTTAAAAGACAGTTTTATTAGATAAAGTGTTGAAAGATACATAAATTATATATTTGAAGTTTACAATGTAATGATTTTAGTATATTCACAGAGTTTTGTAGTCATCACCACAATCTAATTCTAGAGCTTTTTCATCACCCCATAAAGAAACACCCAAAAGCAGTCACTTCTCATCCCCCCAGTCCCTGTCCCTAAGCAATCACTGATCTACTTTCTGTCTCTGTAGATTTGGTTATTTGTGGAATTATATAATATGTTCATACAAGAACATATGTGTAACATGTTCTTATATGTAATGTGTTCAAATTACATGTATACTCTTATGTACGCCCTCTTTTAATCTTTTACTTAACATAATATCTTCAAAGTTCACCCATGTTGTAGTATGTTTCAGTACTTCATTCCTTTTTACTGATAAATATTTCATTGGATGAATATATTTCACACTTATTTATTGGTTGATGGACATTCAGGTTGTTTTGACTCATGAAAAATGTTGCTATGAACATTTGTGTACAAGCTTTTGTGTGAATATATGTTTTTATTTCTTCTCCGTATATATCACATCACATGGTAACTGGAAGTTTAGTTGGTACCTCTATGTTTAACTGGTTAAGGAACAGTCAGATTGTTTTTCAAAGAGACTGCATTGTTTACATTTCCAACAGTGTCATATATGAGTTGCAATTTCTCCGTAGCTTCAACACTTGTTATTATCCTTTTGATTATAGCCATCTTAGTAGGTATGAAGCGGTATCTTAATTGTGATTTTGATTTGTTTTTGTTTTTAAGACTGAGTCTTGCTCTGTTCCCCAGGCTGAAGTGCAGCGGTGCAGTCTTGGCTCACTGCAACCTCAGCCTCTAGGGTTCAAGTGATTCTCCCGAGTCAGCCTCCCAAGCAGCTGAGACTACAGTTGTATGCCACCACTCCTGGCTAATTTTTGTGTGTTTCATAGAGACGGGATTTTACCATGTTAGCCAGGATGGTCTTGATCTCCTGACCTCGTGTTCCGCCCATCTTGGCCTCCCAAAGTGCTGGGATTACAGGCATGAACCACCGCACCCAGCCTGATTTGCATTTTGCCACTGACTAATGTGGAACATCTTTCTAGATGCTTATTCAATTTTGGTGAAGTCCAGTTATCTATTTTTTTCTTCTGTCACTTGTGCTTTTGGTGTAATCTAAGAAACTATTACCTAAGTCATTAAGATTTAATGATCTCTTTGTCTAAGGGTTTTATAGTTTTGCTGTTACAGTTAGATCTTTGATCCATTTTAAGTTTATTTTTGTATATGATGTGAGATAGGGGTCGAGCTTTATTCTTTTGCCTGTGGATATCCAGTTGTCCTAACACCATTTATTGAAAAGGCTGTCCTTTCTCCATTTTGTGTTCTTGTCAAAAATCAAATGGCCACAAATGTAAGGATTTATTTCTGGAGTCTTCAATCCTGTAAGAATTTTTTGTTGTTGTTGTTGTTGTTGTTTCAGTAAAGCTTAGTATCTTTATTTCTTTTTTTTTAATTTTTTTGAGATGGAGTTTCGTTCTTGTTACCCAGGCTGGAGTGCAATGGCGCGATCTCGGCTCACTGCAACCTCCACCTCCTGTGTTCAGGCAATTCTCCTGCCTCAGCCTCCTGAGTAGCTGGGATTACAGGCACGCGCCACCATGCCCAGCTAATTTTTTATATTTTTAGTAAAGACGGGGTTTCACCATGTTGACCAGGATGATCTCGATCTCTTGACCTCGTGATCCACCCGCCTCGGCCTCCCAATATCTTTATTTCTAAACTCGTGATGATAATGCCCTCCCAGTACTCTTATGAAAAGTAGAGATTTTGTTAGTAACATTTTTGCTGTAATGCCTGTCTTCCCCTCCATCTGCAACCTCAACTTGTGATGAAGGTAAGTGTAGTTGGCTGTATATTTCTTAAGTCAATGACATTCATTATTTTATCTACTTTGAAGTGAAGTTATTGAAATAAACTTTGCTTTGCTTTTGTTTTAAAGTTGCCCTTTAAGTAATAGTGCCACCACAGTAAATATTGTTATTTTGATTTCTGTGTGTTTATTTTATCACAGGTGATCCTTTCAAGGATGATCCTTTTGGAAAAATCGGTCAGTATCTTATTGAGTTCCATCTTAGCTTTAATTCATTTCTGCTTAATAATAAGCTTATGTTATTTAGGTTTGAAACTGAAGCCCCAGTAAGATGCTCTATCCTGGCATTTTCAGAAAGAGAGTAGTAATTCTTGTGATTTTGCTTAATAAATTTTTGCTTTACTTTTATTTTTCCTGTTTTTGTTGTTGTTTTGGTGAGGTTTTTTGTTGTTGTTGTTTGTTTTTTATTTTTGAGACAGGGCCTCATTCTGTCACTGAGGCTGGAGTTCAGTGTGTGTGATCATAGCTCCCTGCAGCCTTGATCTCCTGGGCTCAAGCAGTCCTCCTGCCTCAGCCTCCCAAAGTGCTGGGATTATAAGCATGAGCCACTGTGCCCAGTAGCTTTACTTTTTTGAAAATGACATTAGTGTTTAGTCTTTGGTGCTTTTAATATTTATTCTGATTTCTCCTTATTAACTGAAGGTTAGGTGAACATAATGATCTGTACTACTTCAGGCTTTAGAATGTAATTTTGTTTTCCTAAGATTATGGCCCACACATGTGATTGGAGGAAGAGGATCTTGAAGAATTACTAAAACATCAGGCTTTTTGAGATACTCTTTTTCTAGGAATTTTCATTAGAATAATGCAAATCTTGTTTACCATGTAGTTTTGTGTTCCAAACCTGTTCTAAAGTATTGGCTATTAGCTTTGAGCTCAGAGAGAGAAATACATTTAGAGGTTTTTGTTGTGTTTTCTTTAGTTACGATAGCATAGAGTAAGGGGACTTAAGATTGGATCCCTTGAAATTATATATTAATTTAAAAAATAAGTTTATTAGGTGAAAGTTTCTATATCTTTTATCAGAATTGCAAAGGAATCTCTGAAATAAAAAGTACTCAGCTTAGATTCTACAGGATTTCTTTTTTTTTCTTTGTTTTTCGAGATGGAGTTTTGTTCTTGTTGCCTAGGCTGGAGTGCATGGCGCAATCTTGGCT